AAATGGGGATAACAATGCTTCTATTATCAATGAGAAAAGTCCTTAGAAAATACTAAACTATTATATAGTAACTTTTATACAGTGCTTTAAAGATCATAAAATACTTTATAACGTTTCATTTGATGCTCATATAAATGTGGGAAACTTGGAAAATTTGGGACTTCTTTGACATGAATTGATATTTTGATATTTTGCTACATTCCCACTATCAGGGCAGGTGGCAGTTCTTTCATTTCATGCCTCTTTGTTCTGTGGTATTCGCTGAACATATTCCTATTGGTGATCATTGGAATGAGCTTTGTACTGGAAATTACAGAACAAAAATAACTAATGGGGAATTGATAACCAATATGAGTAAAGAGATAGGAAGAAGGTACCCAGTTGCTGTTGGTGAATTCAAGACACCTGGAACAGGTGAAAAAACTAGATGTGCTTGTTGAAAAATCAGGAAACACAAAACTAGAGAAGGATCAATGTCTTCACTTTCAAAAGAGAGAATAGAATGAATTTACAAACTATAGACCAGTGAGCTTGACTTTAATTCTTGGGAAGTTCTAGAAGTGATCATTAAAGAGATTGTTGGTGAACAACTAGAAAGGGAAGCAATGGTAACCAAAACCCAATATGGCTATATCAAGAATAGTTCAGACCAATAAAATTATATTTCCATTTTTGACAGGATTACCAAAGAACTAAATTAAGGGAATATCATTTACATAATTGTCCAGAATCTTAGTGAAACTTTTTAATGAAATATCTCATACAAGAGAGAGAGATATTGATTAGACAATAAAACATTCAGAATTGGGGGAATCAATTAATCAATCAACATTTATTTATTTATTACCTACTACATACCAGACACTTGGACAGCCTCAAAGAGAAAATGCTAATGGTTCAATGTCAACATGGTAGGAAGTTTACAGTGGAATACCCACTTGCCCCTGTGCTGTTTAATACTTTTAGCAATGATTTGGATAACAAATGCATAGATGATATGTTCATTAACTCTGCAGATGTTGCAAAGCTGGAAAGGATAGCTAATGCGGTATATGGCAGAGTCAAGATCTGAAAGGATTTTTGAGAAGCTAGGGCATTTTGCTGAAAAAATTCTGAAAAAGAACTAGGGGTTTTAGTAAACTACAAGCTCAATATAAATCAGCAAACAAAAGCTAATTCATCTTGCACTGCATTAAGAAAAGTATAGCTTCAAAAAGTAAAGAGGTGATAGTACCAATGCACCTCAATTCTAGGCATCACAACTTAAGAAGCACATTTATAAGCTATAGAGTAACCAGGATGAAGAGGGATTTTGAATCTATGTCATATGAAAATTAGTTGAATGAACAGTACATATTTATACTGGCTATTAGATGACTCAAATGATACATAATAGCTATGTATTTGAAGTGCTAACATGTGAATAAGGGACCACACTTGTTCCATTTGACCCCAGAGAGAAGAACCTGGAAGAATGGGAGTTAAAAAAATATATATTTAGACTCAATGTCAGGGAAAAAATGTCCTAATGACTGGAGTTGTCCAAAAGTGGGATGTCTCCCTTAAAAGGTCCCTCTCTTTTTAAGTCTTCCAGATGAGCTTACATGACCATTTATTGGGTATGTTATTGTGGGGATTTCTTTTTATCAGTTGGATTGTATCACCACTGAGGTCACTTTCAAAATCTCAAATTCTCTGATTCTGTCCCCAGCTATCCTATTGTTATCCACTACTTTTGCTACATGAAGAGCTTTTTTCATCCTATATGTACTTGATGATATATTCTCCTTCTCATGTGAAAATCATTGTTGATAATAAATCACTGCTTATTTACATTCATAGTATATCTCTCCATGGCCCTTTGGATCACCTGGAATCTTGACTCTTCAGAGATCTAGGTATTCTCTATTTTGTATCCACATAGCAACACTGGGAAAAAAGTTTTGAAAAGATAGTGCTCTCTTGCATAGCTTTGGGATCATTAAAAGTGTTGTGAGAGTTATTTTAAACATAAATTCACAGGATTATAGCTCTAGAGATGGAAAGGATCTTAGAGGTCACTGTCTAAAACCACTTTTCTTTCAAAGATGAGGAAATTGAGATCCAGGAGGTTTAAATTTTTTGACCTAGTCACACAGAGCTGAAATTCTACCTGAGGGACCATGACTCCAAGCTCTTTCTATTTCACCACACTGTTACCCAGTTGTTCCCTTCCTCCTCTTAATCATGGCCCATTTCATTGTCAATCTTCAGTATCTATCTAAAGTTTATGAACTGGTGGGAAAACTTGTATGGAGGTTTTCAAAAACTATGACCACAAAGCATAAACTCTGGTAAGTGCTAAGAAACTAGAAAGGCTTTGAATATAGTAATAGCAATGAGGGCTACTGTCTGACCTTTGTTTCAGTTAAGGAGAGAAAAGTTAGAGCTGGGCACAAGAAGGTCATCCACTATTCGACCAAACCCAACAGCAACACAACATAATAATAGCTAGCATTTATATAATGCTTACTATGTGCCAGGTACTAAGTACTTTATAATTATTATCTCACTTGACCCTTCTAAAAATCCTGTGAGGTGTTATTATCCCCATTTTATATATAAGGAAAACAGAGTTTATCTGACTTGGCCAGAGGCACATAGCTAGTAAGCATCTGAGGTCACATTTGAACTCAGCTCTTTCTGACTCCAAGCCCAGTGCTCTATCCACTGTACTACCTAGCTGCCCCTAGGGAATTTGGTAATAACTGAGATGTCATCATAGCAAATACATATTCTTCACTGAGACCCACTAGAACCTGTACCTTTCTCTTTGTCACCATGCCTAGTACGCTGTATGCATTAGAGCATTAAAATCTTTTAAACATCCAACTAATAATTACTTTTAAAATGTCTGTATTTCGAGTAAGAGGAAAATGCCAATAAAAGCAGTGACTTAGTCAAAGTTGGAAATATGACTAAGTTTTTCTTTGCTGTCATCTTTTCCTCTTAGGATCCCTTCTCTACCTTCTATTAGCATTTTTTCCTCCCCCACTATCTATGTAGGTCTCCTTTTACCTTCAAGCTTCTATTCTATGGCCCTTTTCTGTTTCCTGAAGAATCACCGCTAAGATATTAACTGATAATTAAATATTCAGTGACATTTTAAAAATTCTTTAAGAACATTCAAAGGAATGAAGCTATAATAGTGGAATGATTAAAGGAAGGGATGATATCGTAGAATTGCAATGTTTTGTTTAGGGCTCCTTTAAAGCAACAATCTATATTCATCGACCTATTTTACCCTTAAGAAGCACAAACTATGTAAAAAGAATTTTGTCATAGTTACAAAGACACTAAAGTCATCAATTAACCAAGAAAGTTAAAAACAACATGGTGAAAAATGGATTGGATTTGGAGTCAGAAGACCTGGCTTCAAATTTCAGCTCTGCTATTTATCAAATGTATAATATTGGACAAGCCATTTAGCCTGCATGAACCTTAGTTTTCCTCATCAGTGAAATGGGTATAATACTACTTGTTTGTCTCTCTCACAAGATCATTGTGAAGAAAGCAGTTCAAGCATTATATAAATGCAAGAAACTGGTATTCACGTGAAAAAGAATTCTTGAACTCTTACCCCATACATAAGATTATCACTTCATTTATTGTATAGCTGTATTAGTTCTTATTAGAAATGCATACAACTGCTTCTGGGGATGACAAATTATAAACTAATAGACATTTGAGACGGTCCAACATCATCAGCACTAATGCGTTATTACCCAAATCACTGCATTATTTTCCCCCTCCCCACAAAAAGAATAGTTCACGCTGAAGCCCACAGCAAAGCAATAGTAAAGTCAAACATTATCTTTTAGCATAACTTCCAGTGCTTGACCAATGGATCTTGAGAGGACTCCTTTGTCCACCTCCAATCCATGTGTAGTCTCACACTGGACAAAGATGAGTTTTGGAAACCTTTCATGCTAATAAAAATTGTGTCCAATTAATCTTATTTCTACATGCGCTAGGGCAGCTGGTTAGTTAGAAAACTACTACGGTGAAAACTTTTGTAAAGTGAAGAATCTTTTGTGAAATAAATAATAAATAATCTTTCATGTATATTTTTTTGGAAATCTAGACTTCCATATTCAGGTTTGCTTAAAACAGGTTACATGTATCATCTTTTATTCTCTTAAAAGTCTTTAAAAGACATCTAAGGAAGCACATAGAATTGGGGATTGAGGGGGATCATATAAAAAGGGAAGACAGAAAGTACAGGAATCCCAGATGTAATTTTCATAAAGGAATCAGTTTATCGGATGCTTGGCAGAAGTTATGCTTTCACATGCTTCTAACATCTTAACTACTACACACAAAACTTCCCTATGAAAAGCTAGTGATTTTCAAGTTGGATTCTAGTGGGAAAAAAAAAAAGTTGCCATGTTGTCAGGTATGGGGAGGGACAGTGGTCTCTTTTAGTACAATTTTCTATTGAAGAGCTTATGGGCAAGATTAGCAATGCCTACAGACACTCCATTTTTTACTGACCAAATTTCAGACACACCCAAAAGGCAATTAAATCCAGACCCTTATTGGAATACTCACAGAGGCCTGGAGATTAGGCTTTCAAATTGAATTTGGATAGCCTGTTCCTATTTATGACCCTACACATTCAGTATATAGAAGACAATTTTGGGCTTTGCAAAAGTCTCTCATAAATCTAAATTACATATACTATCCTACTGTGAAGAGGCAGAGTGTAAATCATATCTTCCTAGATTGTCCAGAATGGGGGCCTAGGGGTGTTTTCCCTCCTATCAATTTTCTCAGTTTTCATTACATTTTGTTTTGGAATGGGTGACAAGTTTCCTAGTGTAAGTACCACACTGATGGAAACAGGATATGAGAGAGACAGCAAAAGCATATTCCTGGCCCCCCCCCACTCCCTACTTCTCTTATATACTGAATAAGGATCAAAGTTTCCTGATGTACTTATTATGTGGCTTTCCTTACAGACCCAGAGGGTAATTGAATGACTCCCCAAGAGGAACGGAGGTTTTAAAAGAGCTGCTGTCTGATATGTAGAAGGGCAAATGGAAACTGGGCTACAGCACATGAAAGCATATCTTCTCCTGCTCAGAATATAAACTTCTGTATGCAAGGGCAGCAGCATCCAAAGCATGGTACCATCCCAGTGACCTTCAGAAGTCTTTCTAACTCCCTACATATGGACAAGGTGAACTGTGGTAAGTGAACTGAGAAAGTAGTACTAGGAACTTTAAAAACAAACAAACTAGTTTTGGGAGGGAAGCAGAACTTCCATGTGGTCAGTAAGGGGTGTTACTGTTACATTGCCAATCTTTGCAACCCACCTCTCAAAGTCTAAAACTTCCAAAGTCATATAGGTGTAATTTATTTTACTTATTAATCATCCAAGAGTTTTGATTCTTCACATTCATTTTGAAGGCTTTCGAAATGGGGATCTTTACTTTTTATGTGTCATGGAGCATGAAAACTGACTGGTGAAGCCTTTCTCAGAATAATGTTTTATAAGCAAACAATAAAATATATAGAATGGCATAGGAAACAAATTATATTGAAATACAATTCTCTCTAACTCATTTTCTGTGTGTCTGCCTTTCTCTCCTTGCCTTCCATATATATACACACATACAAGCAAGTATATGGGATAGGTTAAGAATCTGTAATAAAGGTTTAAAGTCTAAAACACAGATTTAGGACCTTTTTTTTGGTGGAGGGTTAGGTAGAGGAAGCAATCTTCCAATCCTTATCCATCACATGCAAGATAATTTTCTATTTAAGTAATATATCTCAGTGAAATCAACAGTGGATTGTTTGGGGATTCTGACCAACTGAGATGTCATATTCACAACACTTATAGCCTGTGAATATCACGTAGAACCAGGGCCAGTAGTCTCCATTATCTCACCTGAGTGAATGTAACAAGGGCTAAGGAATGATTAAAAGTTGACGAAGTAATTTTCCTAAAAAGCAAATGTGACCATATACATTACTCCATTGAACAAGCTCCACTAGTTCTCTATCACTTATATAAACAATAATAAACAATAATAACCTCTTCCTCTGTTTAATGTACAAAGCCCTTCACAATCTGGCCCTAACCTAACTTTCCATCTTTATTATAAATTATTCTTTGAAGCTTAATTTCCTCATCAGTAGAATGGGGATGATAATACCTGCTCTACCTACTTCAAAGTGTTCTTGTGAGGATCAAATGAGATAATTTATTTGAAGCCCCTGCAAAAATGATATAGAAATGTTATTATGATTATTATTGGTGAGAAGTCAGGCAGAAAAGAGTAGTACGTGTATGTGCTGGGGGAGGGGGAGAAAATTTAGCACAAAACACCTATTGGTTCCACACAATACCTACCATCACTGGTGGCATTTTCAGTAATGAAAGATGGTCTACAATTGTGAAGTATTAATTAATAAATGGTAATAAAGTATCATTCAGTCCCTAAATGTTAACACTGATAACTTTGGGAGTTCAAGAGTATTAAATAACTTTGAACAAATCCTGGAAAGGTGTATTATTTTGATTGATGAAAGTTAATTTATTTGTTCCTAGGGGACTTTTTCTTTCTATCTTCTCTTTGTTTATAAAAATAGATTTCATTTAGGTATTCTCTACTGATGAGAAGAGGGCCAAGTGGGCTCACCTAAATCAGTCAGAGGACAAAGAGGTCTAACTAAAGATTAACAGAAAGAGCTTACATAAAAGAATAAATGAACATTTCATTTTGAGACTTCTTTTTAAAACTGTGGGCTGTCATGTTGTCTTATGTATTTGCTGAAAATGCCTTGCTTTATATGCACACTTTTTTTGTTGCAGGGTGCAGAGGTCAGAGGGCATTTACTCTGCTTATACTTACCTGCTTCCAGGAGCTCAAGGTTTAGTGTTCTGTGTGGATGGGAGGAGGGAAATGCAAAAGGACCTGTGCTAATGTCAGTAGTGGTGGTGATGATGCATTAAACAAGTCACCTGCCATCTCGTGACATCATGCAGGGACTGGGAATTCAACTGCCATGAGATACATGACTTCTTTCTGACTTGGCAACAGTCTAGCCCAAATAAATGCTTTGTCTTGAATAAATTTATGCTTTATTTTTTGCTTTGTTTTGGTTTCTATTAACTATCTAGACATTGATGCAGTTGGGCACCTGGGAATAGGGGAATGGGGAGAGGTAGAACAACTGAAATGAAATGACAAATTCTGCATGCTGTAACCATGCACTAAAAGAGATGTCTGATGGGGTGGGATCTTTTTATAAATCATAAAGGAGAAGGAGAGAGGAAATCACTCAGCTGTGAAACAACATATTTCACATTATGTGTGAGATGGGGCTTTTTACCCTTTCCTCAGACACCTCCAGTGTTAATCCAATCCAACTGACAAATCTCAATTGGGCACCTATTCTGTATGAGGTTTTAGGCTCAAGATTTGCACCATTTTCCTTAGATAGACACAGAAGTAGATATAGATATATTCCTCCTGAGTTATGTTGAACTATTGCCTTTCTTTTAGAAGATAACTCAAATATTATCCCCTCCATGACTTCTGCCCTCATCACCTCATACCTGGATACCTGTTAATTTCTCTCCCTGTCTCAACTCTGCCTCATTCTAGCCTAGCCTTCACTAAATGCCTAAGTGATCTTCCTAATGCATAGGTCTGACCACATCATCTAGTCTCCCCACTAGATAAATTATATTGCCTCCCTATTACCTCCAGGATCAAATATAAAATACAGTTTGACTTTTAAAGCTCTTCATAGTTTGGCCCCTTCCTACTTTTCCAGTCTTCTTACATTTTATTCCCTTTTACATAGTCTAGGATTCAGATACACTGGTCTCCTTGCTGTTCTTCACACAAGACAATAATTCATCTTCCAGTTCCATTCATTTTCACTGGCTATCATCCATCTGAAAGGTTCCTCTTCGTCAGCTCCTCCTCCCAGCTTCAAGACCACACAAATTCAACCTTATGTAAGAGGCCATCCCCATCTCATCCCATCTCCCCAGCTGCTAATGACTTCAATTCACCTACAATTTACACTATGTGTCCTGTATGTGTATAATTGTTCATGTTATATCCCCTATTAAAATGTTTGCTCATTGATGACAGAGATTGTATTTTGCCTTTTTGTATCCCCCTCTAATACTTAATAAATGCCTGCTGATGATTTGTTGAATAGATAAGTAATAGAATAAGAGAACTTTAGAGTTGGGATGTATATGAGAAACCATCTAATCCATAGACCTCACTTTACATATGAAGAAACTGAACCTCACCACTTAGCAGAGTGATTTTCTTGAAGTCATACATCTAGTAAGTGGCAAAGCCCAGATGGACAGTTAGAGAGCTGAAGAGATGAATGAAACATTTTATAAATCAAAAGCCTGAGAAGTAGAATAAAAAGGGGCTTCTTATCTTAGAAGTGGGAATGTTATATTTATAACAAGAAATATTGTTTTTCCTGCTTTCTCAATAGGAGAGAGGTAGAAAGTAGGGAGGAGAGAAGGGAAATCTTCATTTAAGAAAATTAAATTTAATTAAAAATAGAAGTAGGGATGTTAGATGAATGGATTTTCTAATATTTCTCACCAGCCACTGTTTATTAAAATATCATCTACTGTTTATTCATTACTTACTTATGAGGACCCAAAGTGTAACCCAAATTAAGCTAGTGAATTACTTCTCAGTAGGATTTAGACACTTTAGGATGTGTATTAACTCAACCAAAACAAATAAAATAAAACACAAAAACCTTGCAAAACCTTTCAAAGTGCCCACTACATAGGAACATGGGATTTAGAGCTAGAAGTGATCTAGAGAAAATATAAACCAGCATTTTCTTCTCTATAGACAATAATTATGACATTTACATAGCACTTAAAAGGTTTGCAAATTACATACACACAGATACACACACACACACACACACAAAATATGTGTGCCCCTGACTATTAGCACATTAATTAGTACATGTGTACTATGGTTAACAGTAAAAGGAGTTCTAAAGTGGGTAATAAATTCGCTTTCAGAATGCTTATTTCTACAGATATTTGCATTATCACAAATTATTTAATTGAATTATCATGTATGCACCCATTTGTTTACATGTTGTGTGCCTACAGTAGAATGTAAGCTCCTTGAAGGCAGGAACTTTCCCTTGCTCCAACAAATCCAACAAATAGTTCCTCAGTTCTACCATGTCCTTACTATGTTCCATACACAGTGCTGGATTTTCAGGATATAAGCATCTAAACGGCATGGTCACTTTCCTCAAAGAACATATATTCTTCTTGGAGGGGTGAATAAACAGACACATACTATAGAAGAAAGGGAGCAACAAGGGCAAAGGAAAGGTTAGATGGAGAGTTCCAGAAATACATAAAGAAGGAAAAATCAATCAGTCACTGAGTTTTTGTTAAATGCTTGAAGCTATGGAGGAATCAGGGAAGAGAAATGGAGATGAGAGTAGCAAAGCTGAACCTTAATGAAAATGAAGGGTTATAAAAAGCACAGATAAAGGGGTGCATTCCAGGCAGGCATGATGGCAAATTCAGAGAAGTTAGGGATGACATGTCTACATTGGAGAATAACAAATAGTCTAGTTTGGCTATGTCACAGACTGTGTACATTCCAAAGCTATGTCCTGCCTAGAACCTGAGCTCCATGGAGAGTATCTCCCCCTTCTACATGCTGTTCCAAAGCAAACACTACTCTGGTTGTCTTAGTTTCTAAAGTAATATAGAAAGAACACTTAAGATGAAGTATCAAATGCCTAGAAAAACCTCAGAATTTATCATTTCCAACCCTTTCATTTCACATTTGAGGGAGCTGAGAACCAGAGAGTTTAAGTGGTAGTAACCATTAGATGTATGATTCAAATCCAGCTTCTTTTACCCTAGAGTCATTGCTCTTTCTATCATGCCATGCCACATACCCCCACACCCCTCAATAGAAGAACAAGTAAAGTTATGGCTAAGGAACCTGGTTTAAAAAATTCTTTATCCAGGTACACAAATAGACATATCTCATGTTTTCAGCAGGAGTTATAAATGTGCATTTCTAATTTTCAAAGAGATAACTCCATATTCTCTAAGCTAAACATTCACAGTTCCTTCCATTAGTATTCATAGTGCTTGGTCTCCTTATGTCCTTTCCCATCCCTACATACATTTTTATTTAAGAGCAATGTGTAGGGACTCTTTTGGGAAGCAGGGGTTAAGATACTAAGAAAGAGATAGGAAGGAGTGTAATGTAGTGACCTAAGACTGGGCTTCCTCATATCTAATTTTTTAATACTTTGAGACTTCCTCATAGAGACCCATTTCAATAAAATGAAAGCTCCTTGAGGGTAGGAATTTTCATTATTGTCTAGTAGAGTGATTTTCATCTAGCAGGTGTTTAATACATTTTTGACTTAAACTCTGAAAGGCAAGTAGTATAGGTATTAAAGAACTCATTTTTTTTAGATGAAGAAAGTAAGGCTCAGAGGGATTAAAGTGACTGACTCATGGTCACTTAGCTAGTAAAAGTCAGAGGAAGCCTGGATACCAGGTTTTTGACTCCAAAATCAGTTGTTTTTCAATTATACCATGGTATGCATTTGATGTGTCCTAGAAGCCAGAAGAAAACAAAAGTTCCCTCATATTTTTCCCATACACATCTGACAAGGACCTACATGGGAAGGGAACACAGTGTAGCAGGCTTATTTCTCTGAGCACACATCTATCTCCTCACACAAATTCTTCTTTCTCTTTCTTCTTTCTCCACCTCACCAGTGGTCTCACCAGATCTTCCTCTCTGTCATTCTAGCTGACAGAACATTTTCTAAGTCTTTAGCTACATAACCAGTAAAAAAAAAATAGGGGAAAGGAGTTTTTTTAAACTTAAAAGCAAAAGAATTTCCCAGATCTTAACTTAAAACCTTTATCTTTCTATTTTGTTCATGGATGATTCCTGCTGCAAATATTTTATATCTTAGCCATCAAAGAGGAACACATAAAAAAATGAAATAACTGGTGCTATTATGCTATTTCCAAAAGAATGAAAGAAGAGAGAAAAAGAGAAAAGATAGAGATGAGAAAGAACAGAGAGACAGACAGACACACACACTCAGAGATTCTTCCAGGTAGACTACTAAGTAATTCAGAAAGAGTTGAGCTACCAATGAAGCTGGTGGATCTGATCTTTATTTCACAGCCTTTCCTTCTTTAGCAACAGCCACCAAACAGGTATATATTAATTGATAGGGAAGGGTGTGCTAGAATTACATATAATAACTTTCTTCCAAGGAGCTGAGAAAGGTGGTACAGTACCTTCTTTAAGTGTGTCAATTTTTGCCTGAGTCAGCATATCAGATTCCAGGATAATAGTCAAGACTGAGAGTCACACAGTGGGGAAGCCTGCCCTAATGGTGTTCCCTAGTGTCACCAACTGATACTACTGTCAGCGCTAGTGTACCATAGGGGAAAGGGGATGCAATTAAAAGGAAAGATGAAGAGCTTTCTTGGGAAGAAAAAGCCAGAAAATGCATATGAATAAATACATAAGTTAGCAAATCAGAATAGTGAATCAATAGGCTAAAATCTTAAGAATTAAATTCATAGCCATAAAACCAAAGTAGCAAAAGACTGCTAGAATTAATTAGTGTATCTTCTTTTATATTCTATATTCTTTATGTTTATACCATTTTATTCCTCACCATTTTCCATTTTCCTATCATTTGTTGCAATTTAGGTCAGAAAATTACTGCTAGCAAGTTTATTCAGATGTTCAGATGAAATAAACTACATATTCTAGGGGAAACCCCTACCCTTAACACATACGGATAATAGAGAAATCACAGAATCTCATACAAAGACAGAATCTCAGAGAGTATGGAATCCAAATTGTACCTGAAGGGGAATTTATTCTATAATAGCCATAACAAGTGACCATTGAGAATCTATTTGAACACCTTCAGGAATGAGCATTCACTACCTGTCAAAGTAGCCCATTCACCTTTAGGAAAGTTCTCTTGCACAGTGGAAATATGCCTCATTGTAACTTCCTTTGTTTCTCCTATTTTTGTCCTCTGGGGCTAAGCCAAACAAGTCTGCTCTCTTTTCCACATAATAGCACTGCAATCCTTTGAAGACATCTATCATGACCTCCCCCAAATCTTCTCTTCTCCAGGCTAAACATTCAGAGTTCCTTCAATGCTTATTCATTAAGTATAGTTTTCTTATATCCTCCTGCAACCTTATGTACACTTAGACTTAAGATACACTTTTTACATATGAGATCTTTGAAAAAAGATCAAGATACTCACTCAACAGCAAAGAACCTTTTTTATCGTCTATTGTGTTCTGGGGTGACAAAGTAGATAAAGTGCTGGGCCTCTAGTTAGGAAGACCTGAGTCCAAATTTGAGCTCAGACACTTACTAGCTATGTGACCCTGGGCAATTCACATGACTCAATGTCTACCTCAGTTTTCTTCATTGATAGTAATAGCACCTACCTGCCAAGGTTGTTGTGAAGATTGAATGAGATATATCTATCTATATCTATATCTATACCTATATCTATATCTATATCTATATCTATATCTATATCTATATCTATATCTATATCTATATCTATATCTATATCTATATCTATATCTATATCTATATCTATATCTATATCTATATCTATATCTATATCTATATCTATATCTATATCTATCTATATCTATATCTATATCTATATCTATAGAGATATATGTATATGTATATGTATATGTATAATTTTATATATGTATATGTACACATATATAATAATTATTATTAGTGCTGTGCTTAGTACATAGTAGGCACTTAATAAAAGCTTGTTTCCTTCCTCCAGGGGCCTATGAGAGGCCCTGGAGATAAATGACCCATAAGAGAAGGTCCTTTTCTTTATGGAGTTTCTAAACTTGATGGAAGATAGTGTAAATAAAGAGAACGAAATAATTCGAGGTGCATATGATAACTGCCATGGAGATTGTTGCCATTTTGTTTTAAATTAAATTCAAAGCATTGACTTGTAGGTACTCTCTTAATTTTCTGTTTATAACCCT